TGGGCTGCCATCTTTTTATGTTTAAATCTATGCTTACGCTTTCCCTGGCCTCTTTAACATCTATCTGCATTTGATTTAGGTTAGTAAACGTGATTTTTTTCACTTTATTAATAAAGCTACTTTTAGGGGTAAAAAAATTTGGGAGTTTGTAAATATCTTTAAGTGTGGTCAGAACCGGGAAATGCCTACTGCCTCCTATGCTGATTTGTGGACACTGCCATTCTAATTTCTCTTTTTCTAGGTTGGTGAAGGTAAGATCTAGTACTGATCCCGCATTTCTTTCATTACATACGTGCGTTTTGGTGCCATCGTTTAGACATAGAAAATTTGCGTTCTCAGTCTCAGAGCTTAGCAAAACGCCTTTAGGTGTGTTAATTTGATCGCCATACTTGATACATCTGGCATTAAAATCCCCTAGTAGGATAACATTTCTAAAATTACTCAGAAATATTAACAAGCGGTTTATTTCTGTTGAGAAATCGTTGAGTCTAAGGCTAGGCGGTAAGTATGCGTTACATATGGTTATGTTGGTGTTTAGGCTAGTAGTCTTAGCTATTAATACATCCATCTTGCTGTTATACTTAATTTTCGTGAATTTGAGTCCTTTTTTGAAGCCGATAGCTACCCCTCCATAACCATCCGACCTAGTCTTTCTTAGTAGGTTAAAGCCTATAAGATTGTGATTTGTTGTCGATTCATCGTGTGAGAATATTTCCTGAAGGCATATAATGTCTATGTCGTGCCTGTTATTAAAATGGTCTAAATAGCTCTTATTTGCCTTAAGGCTTTGTATATTATATTGTAGGATTTTCGTGTTCATTTGTGGGAGTTGGTGTAATCCTGTCACTAACTTTGACTTTGCAAATTTTCTCTAACAACTGTACTAGGGGTTCGTTTTGATCTATCTCAAACTTTTTAATGAGTAAGCTAACCAGTTTCTCTATTTCTGTCACTCTGTCCCACTGTGCACTTAGGAAGACAGGCTGTCTGGTTGTGTCTTTTCTTTTTACATTGCTCATTTCTTTTTCGGTATGCATGTTTGCGGGTTTGTACTGCGTTACTTGGCTATACTTCTTTTTTGTCAATCTTTGGTTAACTACCTGATCATTGTTTATGACTGGATTGTGATTGGAAAGAGTGTCCGGAAAGTTTTCCTCAAAATCTAACAGCGAAAAACGATTTGCTCTATTTTCTAAACTATACATGTCGAAGGCCTCTTTTTTTGAGATTTTTTTTATGGTCATAATTTCCAGCACTTTTTCTTCTTTCTGCCACACTTCACATGCCTTTTTTTTAAGTGAGTTGTGACCGTCATTCCCGCATAGAATGCAATTATTGGTATTGGTTTTACAGTTGCTATTACATCCTTCCTCTTTTCCACAAACAATGCATCGGTTTTTGGCTTTGCAGGTTAACCCGGTATGGCCAAGCCTTCCGCAGTTAAAGCACTGTCTTACCCTCGGAATATAGTGCTGCACTTTAAGCTTAACATAAAATAGGTTTATTGTTTCCGGAAGCTCATGTCCCTGAAAACCAATTTTGACCGAAAATGGCAGAAAATTTTCTCTATCATTTGGGTCCCGTCTAGTTAATCTAGTTACTGATGTCACTTTTATGTCTGATATGATGTTGCTTAGAATTTCTTGATCAGAAAAGCCCAGCGGCACATTTCTAACAACCCCCATGGTTTCAACAAAATTTCTTGGAATGAATGGCTTCATTTCATTTTTAGTCAAATATTGGTTTTCAAGGCACTTGTTTGCTAATTCGTACGTTTCAAAAAACACTTTGTATAAAGATTTCCCTATAGCCTTAATATTTTTGATACCCTCTATCTGAAAATTTCTAATTTTATCCCACAGGAAAAGACCATTTCGCATTCTGTCATTATTACACATTGAGCTTTTTGATGTGTCTATTAAAACACAAAAGTCACCCCTATGTACGTTTGTGTATCGCACACTGTACTTAATGCCTTCATTATTCACCGTTGATGTTTCGTTTCCACTTTTTTCCGCTTGCTTTTCTAATAGCCTGGCGTACGTGCCTTTTGGTACAATCATACCTTGTAGCGGGATTTGCGTTCCGTTATTTTCGTCCGTCTTTGTCTTTTTATTATTCTTCCTAACTGTACCTAATTTCGCACTGTCTTCGTCCGTCTCGGAGTCTTTTTTCTCCATATTACAACCTTTAATTATTCTTTTTCTGTTTAATTTTTTCTGATTTCTACTGACTTCGAACCAATTCGCAGCCATAGAGTCAGACTCATTTATATCTAAAGCCTCTGACGCCGAAGCGTCGGCCATGCTGCTTTGCAACCTTCTAGCTCACTTATATATATATACACGGCACTGAGAAACTTACCCACAGAAATTTGCCAAACTTGATGCCACGCTAAGTTGTCCTCTAAATTATAGAGTTGTCTCAAAAAGTTCTAAACACTTGATAAAAACACAATTACTGCACTGTGATACAATAAAACTTAACACTTAACACTTATAAATGCTCCTGAATAGTCGACGTTCCACTAGAGATGAATTGTAACCTCCACCCTCGGCTGCTATGCTGCGAATGCTTGCATTTTGTTTTTGCACGAGGCGAATTTATACAAGGTGGTGGCAAGAATACAACAACAACAACCACATGTATTTTGTATTGCGGATGTTATGTCAAATCTCAAAAATTCTTATAATTTCGTTTTTTTTTTAGTTTTTCTCGAAATATGTATGTATGTAAGATATATAAAGATGTGCATATCAAATCAATTGCCTTTCCAACCATATCCACATATTGAAATTCGGTACAATAGTTTTCAAAAATGTATAAGATTTTGAAAATATTGAAAATTCCACCTTTACCCTCCCCTAGCAAGCCCCTATCAATTTGCACAAAAAAAATTTACACCTTTCAAATCAGTAGAAAGGAGCTGACCACGCCCACTTTAAAGTTTTGTTTTATCTCAACGGCCGCTATACCGCATTTATGCCTCAAAACGAGTCTACGTTACGAATGAGTGTAAGATACAACAAAGAGTCAAATGAGTTAGTTGAATGAGCTGACTCCTTAAAGTTAATTTGAGTCAATTCCTATAAATTTCCTGAGTTACCCACTCTTACTGAGACAAACAAGTCTGGCCATGTCATAGCACACACTTTTCTTTCTCTATCTAGCGCAGTGATCGACACGCCATAGCTTACTGAGCGCTCTGTGACCACATGCGTGTTTCACCTATATACGAACAGCGGTAGCGGAGCAATGATTTCCACGCACACAGTCTCATTCATTGAATCGTTTTTATGCAATGGTCGGCATACTAGCGCATTCAAACTATTGAATAAGTGGGAGTGTGTGCATTACTCAGCTGGTGCTCTTCGTATGTGAAACACCCATGTGCTCAGAGAGCGCTCAGCATTCTTTAGGGGTGGCTAACAAGCATGAATATGTTCCGCTCGCAAACCAAATCGTGGTTGCCTCAACTAAAATTTGGTAACTATGACTAAACCATGTGTTGAAAGAAAGCTTATCTGCATTAGCAGAGCTTAATTACATCCTTTTATGAACCATACGTTAAATTGAATGGAATATGTAGAAATATGCTTCAAAGAAATATTTATTATTATTTACCAAACCCTTCAACTAAATTAACGATTTGGTACAACCTAGATGAATATTAGAAGCTTTAGTATATTAAGTTATAATTACCAACCCATGGTAATAGTTCCCAATCCTTGGTAACAGTTCCCAAATATTGTCAAAATTCGGAAACTAAATATCTTTAGTTGTCGAAACTAATCCTTTTTCTCAGTGTGGGAGTGTAGAGGTGTGTTTATATTTTCCTCAGAGTTCGCATTAACTGCAGGTTCAGCAACAACACCTTCGTCCAAAGCAACGGAAGGCGGGAGCGAAGGAAGAGATGCACGACGCACATCCATACACACTTTACAATAGAATGGACTATTTGACGAGTTCAACTAATCAACATCGGCCGGTTTCAACACAACACAAAGCAAATGAAAAAACTCGTTGCAGTTTGTGCATTGCACTTTTGGTTTAGCACGTTCAACCCTTTGTTTACAAAGCAAGGCATTGCTAATATTATTATTATTATTAAATGCCGAAAGCAATTCAATCTAGTTAATTTCACCAAGAGTCACTGTCTCATTATATGATTTTTACCACATTAATAGATATGTATAAAATTCACTTTAAACGCAGATAAAAGCTAAAAATAGCAGAGCTGTAAAAAACACGTCCGAACTTTAGCTCGTCTTTTTCGTTATAACA